TCCTGGCCGCGCACAGCAGTGTCCGCGGGGGCGGGCGGCCGCGGCGCGCACAGCCCCGCGCCGCCTCCCGGGCGGGCTCGCGCCACCCTGGGTACAAACCTCTCCTCGGGAGGAATTACAGACATTCGAACGACATGGTAGGGCTTGGTAGGAGGCAGGGAGTGGAACAAAGCACAGGTATAGAAAAAAAGTATAGTCAGAGCTGCTCTTCTGATATATTTTCTTATTCAGTCCTGTATGTAATGTTAAGCCATAAGGACAGCACAGAGGGGAATTCAGAATTAATGCTCTTTGTACACTGTAAGACTCATTGCAGGAAGATGTTAGTCAAAACATCATGGTATTTCTATAACAGCTCACTGTATTCTTCTAATGTGGCAAATTTTCTCAAGTCTTAAGTTTCAGGGTTTGTTGACTGCTTCCTCCTGGTGGTAGGATGGGATTTGCATGAGAAATGAATTAACTTGTATTGGCTGCAAAGTTCCTAGGCCTTGAGGCATGGGCTTCTTGCATTTAGACACTTGGGATTATTCCAGAGCACCTTAAATCGGTATGAGTTGTACTGCTGCCCTTGACTGTTCTTACATGTCCGTAATGCCAGCGCAGGTGCCCCCGTGACTGCACAGCCACTGGATCATAGAATCATAGAATGCTTAGGGTTGGAAGGGACCTCTAGAGATCATCTAGTCCAACCCCCCTGCACATGCAGGGTCACCTAGAGCACGTGGCACAGGACTGCGTCCAAGTGGGTTTTGAAGATCTCCAGAGAAGGAGACTCCACAACCTCTCTGGGCAGCCTGTTCCAGTGCTCTGTCACCCTCACTGCTAAGAAATTTTTCCTTAAGTTCCTGTGGAACTTTTCGTGTTTCAGTTTCCGGCCATTTCCTCTAGTTCTGTCAGTGGCCACCACTGAAAAGAGACCATCCCCGTCCTCTGCACTCCCTCCCTTGAGGTATTTATATACACTGAGTAGATCCCCTCTCAGTCTTCTCTTCTCCAGGCTGAACAGGCCCAGCTCCCTCAGTCTCTCCTCACAGGGCAGATGTTCCAGGCCCCTGATCATCCTTGTGGCCCTGCGCTGGACTCTCTCCAGCAGCTCCACATCCCTCTTGTACTGTGGAGCCCAGAACTGGACACAGTACTCCAGATGTGGCCTCACCAGGGCTGAGTAGAGGGTCTGGTAACTGATCTGGCTGGGGGAAAGAAGGAAAGTAGTCCAAGTAGGTTGTGTCTTGACCTGGATCCCTGCTGCCGAAGCGCAAGGGAGAGGGTGGGAATGCCCAGCTGTGGCACAGAGGGGACTGCATCTTTGCACTTAAACTGGTTTTGGCTACTATGGACCTGCACCTTTATTTTTAATTTTGCGTCATAGCCAACTCCACTTCTGTTTGCCGAGCCAGTAAATGGCTATAAAGCGATCCATGCGCTGTGTGTGCTTCGAGGGGCAGTCTTGAAATGGAAATTGAGTTAATTTTATTAGTAGTAGCTTTGAAGCACAATGAACCATTCTACCTAAATTGTGCTGCTTTGCCTCGTCTTGCCTGGTGTCTGCGTGCCCATGGTGGGACCTTTAGGTCCCCTTCCATGAACAAATTCTTCCATCCCTTTCTTTCTCCTTCCTCTGGTTATACAGAGAATTTGAGCATCCAATTTACACTTGTCAGTTAAAGTTTGGATCATTTTGTGAGTGTATTAATCCTATTACTTTGAGATTGCTTTCACTCACTGTGCAAAAAGCAACACTAATTGCAGGATGTTGGAGTTTGCGTCTTGCATACAAGTGTATGGAAATGTAGTCACCAAACAGTGAGGGTGAATGTGCATGTAGACAAAGTGAGCAGGTATGGCTGTGTTTTATTGGTGTAATTTCTCTATTTGGTGTCTCTTCTGAAGTATGATAATCACAGGCTTAATGTACATAACCCTTTTTTCTTCTGCAAGTATTTGCCTTACTATTTTTTACAAATATGTAGTAAATCTGAATTCACTACAAAGAAAATGGTAAGTAAATTAGATAATGGTCTAAAAATTGTAGTGTTTTCTAGATAGAAGAAATTTATCTCAGTGTTCCTAGTTAACATGATAGCAGCTTTAAAAATGATTCATCAGCCTGTAGCAAAATCATATAGATTTCCAATATAGACTTCTAATTAAATGGAAAGGTTGACTAATACAATTTTGTTTTGTCTTTTAGGCTTTAGAAAGAATGCGTCCTTATTTGTGTGACAAAATTATAGCTGAAAGACACTTCGATTACCTACGTTCAAAGAAAATACTCACTAGAGAGGACACAGAAGAAATTTCTTCTCGATCTTCGAGTAGGAAAAAAACTGGGAAGTTATTGGACTACTTGGCAGAAAACCCAAAGGGACTAGATGCTCTGATTGAGTCTATCAGGCGAGAAAGAACACAAAACTTCCTGTTACAAAAGATAACTGATGTAGTGTTGAAAGTTAAAAATGAAAAGCTGGAAGCTCTCAAAGGTGAGAAGTTTATACTGGTATTCTTTACAATGGAATCTGTTATTTTGAGGGACTGGAAAATTAAACTCCCACAGTTCTTTAATGCCTGCCTCTTAGGGATACTTTTGTTTCTCCGCATCTTTGGGACAGTGTTCTTGGTAACTTGCTTTGTAGGGCAGGCAAACATCACTGGTTTGGGCTTAAGATACCAGAGCATGTGTCATGGCTTTGGTATCTTACCATTTGAACACATCACAAATAACAAATGATTAAGTGTGTGTGTGTATAGACACACACACACCATGAGCAGTGGATAAGCCTGTTTCCACCTTTCGGTTTTTCTTTCTATGAGGCTCTTCTAATGCAGAGCCTCAAAACAGGTAGATCTCTTGCAACTTTCTTTGCTCTGAAGCCATTTATTGCAGGGGCAGGATCCTTTGGCTTTCTTAGACTGTATGTGTTAACAGAAGATAAACCAGCAAGTGCAAGCTGAGGAATGCTCATAAATGCCTTCACTTAAAATTGGACTTTATGAGTATATACATGTGTTGCTTCATACACACAGGCCGGTTTTGTTGATAGAGAAGACTTACGTAGTTGTCTGTTCTTCTATTTTAAGGCAGATAGTAAAATTATAAGCCTAAAAAAATAAATACTTCCTCTTCCACATACATCGAAAGAATAATAAAAAAGGAAGAAGTGGGCTGAAATTCTCTCTAGCTTCAGGTATAACCGCCTTCAAATGCAGCCCATTCTGTATTAAAACAATGTAGCTGAAGCTCTTAAAACTTTAATGTTTTAAAGAATAATGTATTGAACTTTATACTTTATACTTTAAACTTAACTTAAACTTAAACTGTATACTTTATACTAAATACTTTAATTTATTAAACTTTAATGTATTAAAGAATACAATAAGAGGAGATTTAAAAAAAAAAAAGGGTAAGTCAAAGCAATCAAAATTCCTAAAGCAAAATTAAATGCTAGCGTATCTGTGTCATTTAGTCATTCATACTCACTAGCTCAGAGAAGCTCATTCACATCAGCCGACTGGACAAGGTGTTTTACTAACTCCTCACAAGCGTTGGGATATCACATGCAAGGAAAAGAGGATAGTCTGTTAAAATCTTGGGAGCGATCCTTAATAATGTCTCAGGGATACTCGGCGAGAGCGCAGGTTTGTGAGTGCGTCACATTGCCCTTAAATCTGGTCTCTGTTTCTGTCTTAGGTCTGAGCTGCAGCACCTGCATGACCTCGCTGTATGGAGGCACGAATGATCTTTCCAGATCATACTCGGATGAGTCTAACTTCTTTGAAAAAACAAAAGACAAAGAATCTACCCAGATAAGTCATCCAGAAGAAGATTATAGCACTGCTGCTTTTCTGTCCGCCGTCTCTCTCCGCTCAATGAATTTACCAGTTGCAGAGATAGGGACCACAGAGAGTGTGGTTTTGTCGGGGCCCCTTCCAGGGCCGGGGGATCCGGGTGCTCCCCCTCTGCCGCCAGAGCTGCAGTCTGAGCAACAGGAGCCTTGTGCCAGCTCAAGCGACAATGTCGTCTTCTTACCTCTAAGGTCACGTTCCCTGCAGTCACAGTGAACTTGAGGGACCTTGTTCACCGAAGGGTATGGAAACTGTGAGGTCTTACAAGGATTTAAAAAATGTTTTCAAACTATTAATCTGTAAAAATCAGAAGTAACCCATGCTCTTACCTCCCCTCCACCACCTTCCCCACTCCCACCCCTCCCAAAAAAACTCCTTTAAAGGCAGTATGATCAATCGGGTGACTGTAGCTGCTTGACTTTATGTCCTTTGGGTAGGATGGTACACCGGCAAAGACTTGTGGGGTTTTTGTTTGCTTTTTAACTTGTTTATTTAGGATTTAATATTTTAATGTTAATTGCAGTTATTTAAGCTGCAGTTATAGGACAGATGTTTTTCTTCCTACAGTAACTTTTTTTTCCCCTCCTGAAGTTTCTGTGACAAGTAGGTGGGAAAGATGCTTAGAAAAAAAAAACTTGAGTATTGAAAAATAACCTTCTGAACTTAATTTGGCAAATGAGTTTAAAATTTAAGTGGGTGGGGTTTGGGGTTTTTTTGTTTGATTGCTTGGTTGGTGGTTTTTCTTTGGTAGGATAAAGTCTGCCCTCCGTGTAGAGATGTGCCGATCCCGATGCAAAAACTGAGTCTGACCAAATTCATGGCTACGTTTGTAAGAAGTCTTCTAATTTTGTCAACCTTGTTCTTTGTTGTAGTAGTAAGTTGAAAGGAACTCGGTATTGCAGTGGTTGGTAAGTGCTTCCACAAGTTCTAGTGTGTTGCTCTTCTGTATTATTTAGAGATTTCTGATTGAGATGCACTTTAAATTCACAGTAATACTGGAAGGGAATGTAAACTGCTGTAACCAAATCATGTGGACTGTTTAAAAACAAAACAAAACTCTTACTGTATAGTGCCTTTAAGGAGCAAAGCGGGTAAGCAGAGGAGTCCTGTAACAAGAGAGTATCCTTAACTGAAGGACTCCTGGAAATGTTGCACTTCAGATATGCACTCTTCAAAGTGGATAGACACGTTTACGTTTTGGATTGTTTAGACAAACACATCTGAGACTGTTTCAGCATGGGAAGGTTCTCATATTTCCTCACGTGGTCAACACGCTGTACTCTTTTCCAACTCTCCTCTTCAGCTACAATCTACTTTTTATGATGCTGGCCTTAAATCACTTCAAAATTAGCCAAAAACACACTCTTACACAGAAATATATTTAGGTAGCTGTTCTGCATACTACATTTTAAAGTGATATTTTCAGTAGGTAGGTTTTCAAAAACCTACCTTTTCAAAAGGTAGGTTTGTATTTAAGGCTGCAAATTAATTTGTCTTGCACAGCACTCTAGCCATTTCATTCCACTTATCTGTGAGACAGTTTCTAAACCGGGCCCTCCTCCTGGGGAGGCAGAGTCCTGCAAGACTGCCATCGAGTCTCAGTGTTCTTGTCATGTTCGTTCTGGTTTTGGAAGTAGATTCAAATAAACTGCAGTGTTTGACTACATTCCAGCTTCAATATATGAATAGCTTATATTTAATAATGATGGAGGCTTCTGTATAGTGTTTGTTTAAATTAAAAAAAAAAAAAAAAAAAAGGTACATCTAAGGTGACAGACCACCAGGATAGCAAAAGTGCCTCTAAGCTGCTTTGGTTCCGAAGACGCTCTGCAAGTTATGTGCCTAAGTACAAGCAGAAACCTTGCTCTTTCTTGTGCAGGTTTGGTAAATGCACCTGTCCTATAAACTTGAACCATACTTGGACATACTCAGGATGTTTGGGGGAAAAAAAAAAAAAAGTGTGACTAAATGCTCCTTCCATCACTGTGACAGCTCCAAGCGCTGTCCGTGTATTCGCAATCCTCTTTTGCTGCCTTGTTAGAAGCTGCAGTGCTGTGAGCCCTTGATTCCTTCCCGGCCCATCCCCTTCAAGTGTGTTTTTAACTGTGTTTTAGAAGGGCATTCGGGGCCTTGCAGGGAAGCCTGCTCTGCGTTCGCTGGAGCTTCTTGGATCCTGTAAGTGGAGGGGAGAGGGAAGGAGCCAGCCCTGCCCCGTGGAGGCAGCCGTGGGGCGAGTCGCCGGGCTGGCCCTGCTGCACGGGTGCCCCGGCCTCCGCGCGCAGCGACCGCTCCTGTGGGGCAGCCTCCTACCCTGAGGTTTGAAATGAATGTATAACCTTTTCAAATGTTTGTAACATGCATTTTTTTAATTTGTGAGATATTTTTATCAACTTTTGAAATAAACTCTTTTTTTTGAAAAATAGCCAATTCTCTGCCCTGTTTCGAGCATTACTGTCATGCATGGGGATCTAGGAGCAGCTCAAGGAAGGGTCTCGGATCCAGGGCTTGGATCCAGGGGGCTCTTGTCCCCTCGGGGATGGATGGCAGTGGCCCTGGTGTCCTGAGCAGGGCCCGAGCGAAGCCTCCCTGTGCTGAGCAGCCTTTATCCAAGGAGGATCCAGGATCCTCACACAGGGCAAGGACCAGGGACACTCGTGGCAGAGGCTGACTGCATGGTGCTTTAGGGGTAGTGTTTCTTCTAAAATAAATTATTATTTTATAGTATTGATAAGTGAGGAGAGGGACAGTGCTTAGTGTCTTCATAAAAAAATATCTAATAGAGCATCTTGAACTAAAGCTTTCTCTGGGGAAACACTTGCAGATGATCCAAAAGCAGCTGTTTGGGCCTAGTAAAAGCATATTTGGAAAACGTGCAAGAAAAAAACCTACCCTGGCGCAGGCACGATGGGGGTAGCGACCGGCCTCTGCAGCCAGAGCTGCAGGGGCAGCGCTTGGAGCTTTCCCTGCCTCACACGGGCCGCTGCTCTAGTGTTAAAGAGGGGAAAAATCATTTATTGCTACTTGGGCCTGCAGGTGGCAAAAAGTGAGAGGCGGCTGGGTTCGGTTTCGCGTCTTTCCATTATTTTGGCCAGGACTGAGAGAAAGTGGGAAAAGGCGGGAGGTGAGAGGCTCCGAGCGCTTCATCCCTCCCGCTCACGTGGGCCGCGGGCTCG